CCCTTCCTTTCCCCCCCCCCCCCTACTCCCCTTGCTGCTTCCTCCGCCTCCTTCCCTCCTTTCCCCATCTCCTCCACCTCCTCCTCTCCTCCTCCTCCTCCTCCTTTCCGCTTCCATTTCTTACCGCTTGCTTCTCCTCCCCCCTCCTTTTCCTCCTCTGCCTCCTCCTCCTCACCCTGGCCTCCCTCACTCGGCCCTCGCCCCCCCCCCCCCACCCCACCCATCTCGAGGAGTGGGGGCGGCCTTTCGGGTTCGATGTGCGAGGATTTGGGGCGCGTTCGTGGGCTCTTGCCGGCCCTCCAGCCTCGGGATGCTGTCCAGCAGCTGCGCCTTGTCGACAGCGTTCCGGGGGTGCCTGGATCGTCCCGAACGGCCGCTGGGGAGCTGAGTCACTGCAAGCTTACAGCTTGCCTTGGCTTACCGTTCTAATCAGGGTCAGCGCTTTGTTTTCAAGGTGCGGCATGACATGATTTATAGGCCTATCGTGTGAATACCTTGTCAAAGCTTCACACATCTGTTTATACTTGCTCAGGACGACGGATGGCCCTCTTGAGGTGCAAATGACGATGACGAGTTCACAAGACAACATCAGCGCCACCGAACGGACGGCGTCTGGACGAGCTGCGCGCAGCAACCGGGAGGATAGATGCATTCATGCTGAGTGGGCCCGCGCACGCGGAAAGTTGATGGGAGTGCGCGAGACAATGCGTGACCCATCCTGGGAAATTGATGGCCGAACCCCCCTCCCCCGTAAAGTCTTAATACGGGCGGTTTCCGGGTCCGCGGATCCGATTTTCCTGGCTCTCCGTGATGATATAATAATAACAATTTTCCAACGGGGTAGAACGCGGACCCGCCGTAAAACGTAGGACCGGACGCGGATCCATAAAGTCCGAAATCGGATCCGCGCGGACGGAAATCGGATCCACCGAAACAGAAACCAAAACCAATATTGGATCCATGCTACCTTCATTGGATCCGACGGCGGTTATCTCATGCGCGTCTGCTCAAGACTTTACACCGTCGTGTCGGGCCCAAGAGGAAAGTACTTTCGTTTTGGGGATGTAGTTTCCAACCTTTCCATACTTATTTCATATCTGATCATAGCTTTCAGAATCACTTCATACCTTCATGGCCCAGGGAACGCCAGCGAATCGGTCAGTGGAACCCCTGGGAGCAGCCTATGAGAAGCAGCCTATCGGGAGCAGCCTCTGAGAAAACACGTCGGGCCGTGTGTGGACCGCCTTGGAAAAGTATGGTGTCATCCTCGGGTCGGTATGGGCCCTCTTAGAAGCACCATTGGGCTATCCCTTTCCATGATACTGCGCTGGCTGGAGTTCCCTTCAAGCTCATGTCCAGACGCCTTCAACATGTGCCACAGCAACGTGGGTGGATCAGCAATCTGGAAAAGGAGCGTGTGTCGATCCAATCACCATACGGATGCAAGGTGCGTCTTTCTCAAATCGGACCTCGCCGTAAGACGTACTTTGCCCACTTCTCTTTGCAGTCTAGAAGGAAGAAACGGCAGCTCCTTGAAAAGTTGGGGTTCTCGCCCGAGTGGCAGGTGAGTCCACTGGGCGTTCGTCCTTCAAGGATCGCTCCCCCCCCAGTGAAAAAGGAATGTGCTTAGGGACTTCAGGGGAAGGGAGTCGTGACGGGAGGGCGCACTGCACTCATTGGTGCGTCCTTGGCGTCCTCTGGCCCTCCCCCCCTTCCTCTTACTCCTACTACCTAGTCGTCGTCGTGCATCTCGCAAGCCGCTGGAGAGCGTCACCGCTGAGACAGGCGGCCTCCCGCATTTTTTCAACAGTTCTTGCTTCGCTCGCGGGTCTGCATTCAACCAGCTGCCATACCTCTCTCCGTCGTGGCAAGAGTGGCACTGGCACCCGCCTACCGTTGGCAGGCATCCGGGGGCGCTTGGGCGCGGATTCCTCCTAGTGATCCTCCTCCTCGTCCTTCTCCTACCCCTCCTCCTCCTCCTCCTCCTCCTCCTCCTCCTCCTCCCTTTCCTCCTCCTTCTCAGAATTTGTGGAGGATGGCTAGTTTCGTGTTGTAGATCATTCCTCTCCTGGGGACCAGGATTCACTGGATGTCTCGGGCGAAATGCTTGTTTTCACGTGCCCTGGTCGAGCGAGGCGCTTAGTTTCACGCGTCCAGGTTGCCCAGGCAGATGTGTAGCATGAGGATTTGTGAGGATGTGTGGAGCGTGATTCGACGCTTGTTTTCACGCAACCAGGTCGCCTGGGCAGATAACTAGCATGAGGAGGTGTTGAGGATGTCTCGAGCGAAATGCTTGCTTTCACACGTCCAGGCGCCCAGACGGATGTCTAGCATGCGGATGTCTTGAGAAGGTGTCAAGCGAAACGCTCGTTTTCACTTGCCCAGGTCGCCCAGGCGGATGTCTAACACGAAGGTGTTTCGCGGATGTCTCGAGCGAGACGCTTGGTTTCACGTGTCCAGGCCGCCACGGCAGACGTCTAGCATGAGGAGGTGTCGAGAGAACGTCTCGAGCGAAGTGCTTGTTTCCACGTGCCCTTTGCTGGGGGCAGTCCCACCTGGATTGCATTATGCTTGCCGCACCCTGTCAGCGCCACCCACCTGGGCGCCTGCGGCTTCCACCCGTTGCCTTAGCACCCTCGCGTACCACTTCGACGGCTTCTGCTTCGCACGCCTGCAGTGCCCGCGCCGGGCTCCGCCTGCGCCCATGCGTGCCCCGACGCTGCGGCCCAGCAGCTGCCATGGTCCCCGCCGGCGGGGCTGGCCGCGCCAGCATGCTCAGGCGTTGACCCGTCCGCCCCTGAAAGGCCTCCTCTTCCCCCCCCCCCCCCGTGGCCGCCCTGTCTGTCCTTTCCCCACTCCTGCACGCTGGCCAGCTCGCTGCCCGGAGCCCCCTGTTTTAGCTCGCTGGTGCAGCCATGCCTGCCTCGCCGCCGACGGAAAAATGGTTTTGACGTGCCCAGGTCGCCCAGGCGGATGTCTAACACGATGTTTTGTGGATGTCTCGAGCGAGACGCTTGGTTTCACGTGTCCAGGTCGCCTGGGCGGATGTCTAGCATGAGGATGTGTCGAGGATGTGTTGAGGGAAACGCTTGTTTCCACGTGTCCGGGTCGCCCAGGCGGATGTCTAACATGAGGAGTTGGGCAGGATGTCTCGAGCAAGGGCGCCCTCGAGGGCGCGAAGTTACTCGCGCTTCGCGCTTCGCGGTTCGGCTCTGATTCCTCCTCAGCCTCTTCTTCTCCCTTGGGAGGCGGCGCGAGAGCGCGAAGTTATTCGCGCTTCGCGCTTCGCGCAGCGCGAAGCGCGAAGTTGGGAGCCCTTGTCGAGCGGAACGCTTGTTTTTATGCGTCCAGGTTGCCCAGGCAGATCACTAGCATGAGGAGGTGTTGAAGACGTCTCGAGCGAGACGCTTGGTTTCACTTGTCCAGGTCGCCCAGGCGGATGTCTAGCATGAGGATGTGTTGAGTATGTCTCGAGCGAGACGCTTGTTCTCACGTGCCCAGGTCACCCAGGCGGATGTCTAACATGAGGATCTGTTGAGGATGTCTCGAGCGAAACGCTTGTCGCAGTAGAATGCGTCGGAGTCCAAACCCGCCTGTCTGTGGGACGTCTCCGGGCGCGGTGGCACATCCCCTGGCGCGTCCCTTGCGACGTTCTGGCGTGACGTGCCCTGGCACGTCCCCTAGCACGCCGCTCGGCGTGACACGTTCCCTGGGTCGTCCTCTGTCGCGTTTCCTGGCTCATCCCCAGGCGTTTCCCCTGACCGTTCCATGGCGCGCCCCTTGCAACGTCCCTTGGCATGACGTCCTCTGGCCGCCCCATGGCACGCTCCTTGGCACGTCCCGTGGCAGGCCCCTGACACGTCCAGGGCACGCCCCCGGATACGTCCCCTGACACGCCAACTGGCGCATCCCCTGTTGCGCCCCTGGCACATTCCGTGGCGCGTCCGTGAGCCTGTGCCCCGTGCCGCGTCGTTCCTTTCGGAGCCGAGTCGGATTTTGAGGTCGGCTTCAACGTCCCGCACGTTTCCACTTCATCTAGCTCTGGGGCAGCTACTGTGTGCTCGGGCAGCTCGAGCTTCAGATCCATATCAGTTCGGTCAGGACTCGGATGCAAAGGAGGACTCGATCCGCAACGCTACAGAGCACACTCGCGGAATAACAGAACGCAGTTCAGCACTGCGCAGCACAGCATAGCCCTTGGTACGGTACATCAAGATCGATACAGTCGACCGCCCCTACTGTCACAGCGCCGTCTGTGCCTCGCGCCGCGCTCGCGCGGAGCTTCATCTCTGATTGACTCTTTCCCCTGCTGATCCGTGATCAAGATCGATACAGTCAGCATTGCAATGGCCCGTCGCCCAATCGGGTGTTTTGAAAAAAGCGTTGCCATGCCTCACACTTGTATGTTATTTTCCGTGTGCCTGGGTCGATCACGCCCACGCTTATTTCATCGTTGCTCCACGGCTGCTCCATGGCTCCATGCTTGCTCCATTCATGCTCCATTATTGGCTAATCCTTGCTTCACGCTGACTCGACTACTAGTAATGCGATTATTCTTCTTCTGCTGCTTTTGTAGTATCATGATGATTCGTACGATTCGTACTATTGCGGTTCTTATTTACAATGCATAGTATGAATACTTGTAATACGACGAATACTAATATCAGTACTACTACTAATGGTATTCGTAATATTACTAATAATTCATAGCAGCAAGACTGCTAATATCATTATTCCACTATCGTTTCATACCTACTCCATTCCCATTCTAGTTTTGATCCGTTGTTGCTCCATTCTGGCACTAGCCGCTTTTTATTCCCATGGCGTTCTTATTCTGATATGAGTCATTCTCGCTCCATTCTCATTCCAATATCATGCCGCTCTTGCTCCATTCCCCACTCTGGCACCCTTCATGCTCCGTGCGTGGTCTTGAAGCTGCGATGGGCATCGCAGCAAGGTGTGTGTGTGCTTTCTCCATAAGCGCGCCGCCCCCGTAGAGGATGGGCTTCGCGGGCAACGCTCTGATGAGCGACCGCGGGCGGGAGCCGGGCCCCCCGAGCGAGGGCGCTCCCAGCCTGGATCTGCTCCGCGAGTTCCTGGGGCACGTCATGAACCTGACGTACAGCTGCGAGGACGCCGCGCGTTCGGCGGCGAGGTCGGGCTCTTCTCCCCGCCCCCTTCCGAAGAGGGGGCGGGTGCGGGGTCGGGAGCCGGATGCGGAGTGGGTGCCGGTAGCGCTGCCTCTGCCTCGTTGCCGCCCCCTTTGGGTCTCCTTCGAGGCCCTCGTCGCCGCCACTGGACTCGCATCAAGATTGTGGCGGGGGCGCACCCCCTGAGATATCCTGGGTATAGCGGTGTCGGTACCCTCTGGTTTCCTCGAGGAGAAGGAGGAGGCGGAGGAAAAGGAGGAGGAGGAGGAGGAGGGGAAGGAGGAGGAGTGTGAGGAGGAAGAGGAGGAGAAAGAGGAGGAGGAGGAGGAAGAGGAGGAGGAGGAGGAGGAGGAGGAGGATGAGGAGGAGGAGGAGGAGGGCCAGTATAAACCCAAGAGTCAACAACGATGTTGGAATTAACCCTCCCTCCAAGCTCCCTCTTCATAGGCCCCTACAACGGTTCATTTCCATTGAGGGAACTGCCTCGTTGGAAGACCACCGTTTGAAGAGCCTGAAGCATGCCAAAACATTGTTCTCGAGATTTCAACGCCACGTATCAACCTGACTGCTTCGTTTTGACGATCCCGATTTGTGCCATAACGCCATTTTTGGGATTTCAACTCCGCGAATCAACATAATTGTTGCACCCGTACAATCTTGAATTCCTCCAAAACAATTTCTGGTATTTTGAGCATGAGAATCCGTGAAACTCTTGTAAATTTTAAAACGAGTGTGCGCGGCGCTAAGACGAGAGCCACAATTTGAAAAGGAGCTGCCCTCAATCCGTGAAGCTCTTGCACATTTTGAAGACGAATGTGCGCGGCGCTAAGGAGAGAGCCACATTTTGAAAACGACCCGCCCTCCATCTGCGAAGCTGTTGTCACCTTTGAGGCTTCAGAGTCATAACTGGTGAGGAAGGCTCAGGCGAAACGCCCGGCCCGCCCTAAAAATTGGCCTCGGGGTGCGACTGGGAGGAGTTATCTAGAAGGAGAAGGAGTGGAGGAGGAGGAGGAGAAGGAGGAAGAGGAGGCGGAGGAGGAGGACGAGGAGGAGGAGGAAGAGGAGGAGGAGGAGGAGGGGGCGGAAGGAGGAGGAGGAGGAGGAGGAGGAGGAGGAGGACGAAGAGGGGGAGGAGGAGGACGAGGAGGAGGAGGACGAGGAGGAGGTAGAGGAGGAGGAGGAGGAGAAGGAGGAGGAGGAAAAGATGAGGACGAGGAGGGAGAGGAGGGAGGGGTGGGGGAGAATGGCATGTGGGAGGAGTGGGGGGAGTGGGAACGGGAGGGGAGGGCGAGGAGGGACGGGTGAAAGATGAAGATTGTTTTTCCTGGAAAAGGCGTGTGCCCAAGGATTTCTTTTAGATGTTACTGTGTGTGTGTGTGTGTGTTGGGACTCAACATGCATAAGGCCGGCGACAGTATTTTGCGATAGATACGGAGGTCGCGTATGGCCAGCGAATTGACAAGTTAAGGATCTCCCGAACGAAACGCTTGTTTGTGAAATCCCGATCCATAACACACAATATCAAATACGCATTTTCTTTGGTAGCGGATATCTCGAGCGAAACGCTAGATTTGCAGAACTTGTTGAGGAACCACGTGTGTTTTTACGTTTCCAGGCCGCCCAGTCAGGAGGTCTCAAGAGGCCCCCAAGAAGCCCTAAAGAGGCCCAAGAGAGCAAAAGAGGCCCCGAGGGCCTCTGAAAACATGGGATTCCAACATTTCCGTTTTTTCGAGTTTGCCTGGCAGTTCGGCTACGCTTGAAAACAAGGAAATAGTATAGTTCCTCTTCCTCCTCCTCCTCCTCCTCTTCCTCCTCCTCTTCCTCTTCCTTTCCCCCCAGGGAACCCCATTAACCTCACCTTTTCCCCCTCTTCCTCTGCTACGTCCAGCCGCGGCGAAGAGAAGGGCCCCCGAAGTGCCCCCTGGGCCTGTCTTAGGCCGCCGTTGGTGGACCGTAGGAAGTCTTGGAAGCCACTCGGGCCGTCTTCGTGACTCTTGGGAGGCCCAGAGAAGTATCATGATGTAGAGGTCTCCAAGAATTAGACCATCCAGCCCAGCTAGAAAGTGAGCGTGCGCGAAGCGCGCGATAATACATGCAAGTGTATACATAAGACATTCATGTACTTGTGCACTAAATGTTTACAACTGTATGTGTGCACATACAAGTGTATACACATGTACGTATAACTATATACAACTACATCTAGACATCTCTCAATCTATGCATATGTGTATGTATATGTATATGTATGTATATATATATATATATATAGGTATATATATATATGTATGTATATGTATATATACACAGTCTAAGTATACCCTGGGACCCCACAGCGTATGGGACATCCGGGGGCCCCAGAGGTGCCCACGATCGACCCCGAGAGAGCCCCGACTCGCCACCCCGACCGCCAGCATGAATATCACCCCCCGGACGCCCGTGATCGCCCCACGACGCTCCGACCTCAAAACGCCCCCCCCGAGACGCTCCAAGAGGATTCCCGTTGCGTAATGGAGGGGTCATAAATAGGGGGGTGGCGAGGGTGGTCCGAAAAGGTACCCAAACGGTACCTAAACGAGCCCCTTGGGACTCCAGAGGGGCCCGAAAGGGGCACGAAAAGGGACCGTTTCTGACCCCCCATTTATGACCCCCCCATTACGCAGCGCCCAACCCAGACGCCCCCCCCAAGCGGGCCCCAAGAGGCAACATTCACTGCTCGTCCGTGTGTTTTGGACGTGGTGGGCCTTCCGCCTTTCCGGCTCGCCGACGCTCCGAATCCGCCCCAGAAGCACCACGACTCGCCCGAAGATTGTTCCAGAGGTCCCCGAGAGGGCGCCTGCACTGTCCAAGGGGCCCCACAGACGCCCCAGGAGACCTCCGGGACAGCCCACAAAGGCCACGAATCGCTAAGAGCTCACCCCAGGACGCTCCCCACGCCTTCCAGGTCGCCCACGATGAGCCCAAGGCGCTCCACGAAAGCTTCCTCAGAGAGCCCACAGCGCCCCCCCCCAAAAACGCCCCACGAGGGTTGCAAGGCTCCCCCGAGCAGGGCCCGAAGAAGAACAGCATCATTGATATGTCGTGAGCTTGATGTTTATCAATGTTTCTGTCTTTTCGCCTTGCCGACGCTCGAAGACAGCCCAACAAACACAAAAGCTGCCCCCAGGGCCAAACATGAGGCCCCCAAGAGGGCGCCGAGACTGCCCACGACGCACCAAAGACTGCCCAGCACATGTCGCAATGCATGCTCAGGAGAGGAGCGCCAGGGGACCGTAGCCTGTCTGGCTCAAGCCATTTTGTCTCACGACACTTTTCGCAGCCCAACCAGCTTGCCTCCACGGCATACGTGCGCCTCTCAAGCCGTGGAGCGATGACTCCCCCCGGGGCTTCGCAGACGGCCTGGGCGACGCCACCCAGCACACCACGTGCTTGCCGCAGGGTGCCCTCCACGCCGCCGCCCGTGAGACGCGCGCACTCGGAGCCGCTGCTCTCGGGCCTGGAGCGAAACTGCCTGACGCAGGTGCGCTCGGCCCTCGGGGCGGATCCGGACGCGGCCAGGCGGCCGCTCATGGAGCCGCGCGTCGAGTGGCCGCTCTGCGCCGCGGTCCGCCTGGGCTGCAGCGAGGACATCGTCCGGCTGCTGGCGCAGAGCGGCGCGAGGGCCGAGGTGGCCAACGAGCAGGGGCAGTCCCCGCTCCAGCGCCTCAGCTCCGTGGGGGCGAAGGTCATGAGAGCCATGCCCGTCGACATGTCCAAGTGGCTCACGCCCTCCTTCCTCCCTCCTCCCTTCTCCCTACCTACCTCCCTCCTCCTCTTCCTCCTCCTCCTCCTCCTCCTCTTCAGCAGGACCCCCAGAGGACAGAGGAGAAACGAAGTCCACTGGTGAGGCCTTTTGCCACGTGGGAGCCGTTGGAGGGGCCCATTGGGGCATCTTTGGGGGCCTCTCGGGGGCCTCTTAGAGCCTCTTGGGGGTCTGCTGGGCGCCCTGCTGGCGGTCTCGGGGGTCCTCTTGGTGCGGAGGGCTGGAAATGTCACTTCGCGTTCCACCTCCTCGGGCCCCTCTCTTCTGGGGCCCTTTTGGGCCGTCTTGGGCGCCTCTTGGGCCTTCGTGGCGGCCTTTTAGGGACCTCTTGGGCCGTCCTGGAGCGATCTTCGGTTCGGGGCTTCTTGGTCCGCGTTGGACGCCGTCGACACCAACAGAGTGAATATGTGAAACATGTCATTTATCCTTAGGAGTTGGGGCGATTGGGGCCTCTCGGGGCCCTCTTGGGGGTCTCTTGAAGCTGTCTGGGGGCGTCTTGGAGGCTTCCTGGGCCGTGTTGAGGCCATCTTGGCTGTTTTTGATGCCTCTTTGGCGTGTTGGAGCCCAGCTTGAGCAAGCTGAAATGAATTCCTGGGCATTTTTGAGACCACGGAGTGCAGAAGTGGAGGCTCCAGAGGTCCCGGGTGAGCATGGAGGGACCGGGTGAGGCCCCCTCCGCCTCGGCCCCCCTCCCCCTTCTAATCGGGCCTCACACCCTCCGGGGGAGGGGGAAAGAGGGAGAGGGACCTCCAATCATTTTTGCACGCCGGGCAAGTGGAGGTCGGCGGATTCACTACTGGCACCGACGACTGGGCAGAATGGGTGCGCGAGTCCAACGCACAGTACGAGCTGGGCGTTGCCATGGCGCTGATGATCGCGGGTGCGGATCCAGAGGCGCGCCACGGTGACCGTGGCGGAGAGCAGTGCTCTAGTCTGGAGCTCGCCCAGCGCGCTGGCAAAGATCACCTGGTCAGCCTGTACGTGCAAAACCCGCGCGCGACCTGGGGTGCCGTGGCCACTTGCTGACCGCCTGACGCGATGCTAGACAGGAACGGGGATATTCACTCGTGTACAGGGAAAAGCAGCAGTTTCTATGCTCGAGAGGGGCCCGATTCGCGCAAGTGCGGGACCGACGTTCGGACTTCATCGCTCGCAGTTTTAAATGTTCCCGAGCTGCCGCCCGACCCGACCCGACCCGACCTACCGAGCCAGTGCCTTTTCCCTCACGCCTCGTCCTCTTACTCGGGTGCCCACACTCCGCCCGACTTGAGCAATGATCGCACGGGGTCCACTTACTCGGAATGGCACGAGCATGAGCATATGGCGCCCAAGGTAACAGTCGCAGGCGGAAGGCTCAACACTCCTGGCGACACTGTCTTTTTCATGGGTTCTTGGCAAGTGAGAGATTCCACCCGGATCTGCAGAACCAAGAGCACATGACTATGCCTATGCGAGCACAGCTCGACTGACCCCAAGATCGAGGTCGCCGGAGGAGCGTCCAGTTCTGTTGGCGACCTCGCACAATGTTTCATACGCGTTCTTGGCAAGGGGGACTCGACGAGAGTCGGAAGAGCCAAAGGCCAATCGTTCATTAGGCAGCACAGACAACTCACATCTTGCCTCTGCTGACCTTTCCATGGGGATGATCAGTCCGAGCTCGGGCTCTGTACCTTAGTGTTTTTTCCCAAGCACCCTGTGGTGCTGGGTCCTCGTGTTTTGAAGAGACAGCGCCCCGCGTCCACTCACTCCTCACCCCCCTTCCTCCCTCCTCCCATATCTGCCTCTGTCCTCTGCTCTCTCCGCATGTCCACCACTTCGGCACATCCCTGACATGCTCCCTGGCCCCACAGGGAGCTCCGCCGAAGGCCCCCGCGGCAGGGTCCACCTGCGCCCCCCCGTCCATTTCGGCACACCCCTCACGAGGATCGTGGCCCCAAAGGGAGCTCCACCGAAGGCACCCGCGGCAGGGTCCGCGTGCGTCCCCCCGTCCATTTCGGCACACCCCCACGAGGATCGCGGCCCCGAAGGGAGCTCCACCGAAGGCCCCCGCGGCGGGGTCCGCATGTGCGTCCCCCCCCGCCAATCTCGCTCGGCACGCCCCTCACGAGGGTCGGGGGTCCCATAGGGAGCCCCTCCGAGATCCGCGCAGGGATCCAAACGGGGATTCGCATAGGGATTCGCGTGGCAGTGCGCATGTGCGCGTGTGCATCCGCGTAGGCATCGGCATCGGGATCCGCATGAGCATTCGCATGAGCATCCGCATAGGGATGCGCGCAGGGATCCGCATAGGGATCCGCCTAAGGATCCGCATAGGGATCCGCATAGGGATCCGAAATTGTGATTTGGTGTTCCCGGTGAACACTCTTCCTCCTCCTTCTCCTATCGCTCCTCTTCCTCCTCCTCCTCCTCCTCCTCCTCCTCCTTCCTCCCCGGGCGCCCGACGTTGCCAAGAGTGGCGCCCCCGCCCTCACTCCTCTCCCCTCCTGCTCTCCCCAGTCCTCAGCCGCCCCTCCGTTACGCAGCAACTACAGGCCGCTGGATGGGGACGGGGGCTCAGTCAGAGCGCAGACCGCTGAATCTGAGGAGCGCTGCAATTATAAGTTACGGAGCGCGTGGTCAGAGGTTGCCCGCCAGTTTTCGGCAGTTTGCCAGTGCAAGGGCTATTTGAAGCAGACAGTGGGGACGTAATTGTCTCACAGCATTGCGAGAAGGTGAGGGGAAAGAGCGCGGCCGTCCAACAGCAAAAAAGGAGCTCGAACTTGTACCGATGGATTCTGTTCTTGTCGGCATCCTGTTCCTGCTGTTGCCGCTCCTCCTGCCCCCCTCTGCGCCTGCTATTCTTGATGCTGACGCAGTCCCGCGCTCCCCAAGGCCGCGTGGTGTTCGCGGGCGCTGCGGTGCGCGCAGTGGCCATGGCGTGCACGGGCGTCGTGGGCTCAAAGTGTGGGACCGCGCGAAGGGCAAAAACCAAATAACAATCACAATCAGCTCGCATATCGAATTTGATGATATCGGCCGCCCTCACGACTTTCTGGCATTTGGTCCCGTCGGGACCCCACAGGGTTCCAGAGCTGCAAGCAGGCCTTGTGGTGCACACAGGCACTGTGGTCGCAGATCGTGCTGAACTGGTCATGGCTCGTGGCCCCTGGTCGTGGCTCGTGCGTGCAGGCGCTGTGGTGCACGCGGAAGCGTTACCAATTTACCTACCTCCCTCATCGTCGTCGTCCTCATCGTGGTCTTCGTCGTCGGTCGTCGCTCGTCGCTCGTCGCTCATCGTCGTCGTGCGCGCGGACGCGACTGGTGCTGGAGCCGCATTGGGGGGGCGTTACGTTATACACCCGCCCGCCCGCCCCCCCATAATGCCCGTTATCTTCGCGAATCAAGAAACGTGTTCTACTGCCCAACAGGCGCCGAGTCGCCCCAACACACCCGCAGAACAGCCCAACAAGGCGCCGAGTCGCCTCCGAGTCGCCAGAAAAGCATGCCCAGACGCACGCGGTCGCATGCAGATGGCCGACGCTCCCAAGGCGCCCTACGGAGGCTTCCATACGGCCGAGTCCGCCCCCCAGACGCTCCAAGAAGTTTCCCAGACGTCCCCCAAGAGGACCCCAAAACGCAAAATTCATTGGTTCCCACGGACCTATTTCCCGGAAAGGGCGCGGGCCCAGGGTTCTCTTTTAGTAGGTTAACCCCCCGGCCCCCCTGCGACTTGGGCCGGCGAAATTATTCTGCGATAAATTACGTGCGGGAGTAGGGCCGGCGAATTAAAATTTGAGGATGTCTCGAGCGAAACGCTTGTTTTGTATTATATATTGTGCTCTCCTGGGGACCTGAATTCAGAGGATCTCTCAGGTGAAATGCTTGTTTTCACGTGCCCAGGTTTTGAGGATGTTTCGAGCGAGACGCTTAGTTTCACGCCTCCAGGTTGCCCAGACGGGTGTCTAGCATGAGGATTTGTTGAGGATGTCTCGAAGCAGAGGCTTGCATGAGGCGGTGTCGAGGAAGTCTCGATCGAGACGCTTGTTTGCGCGTGTCCAGGTTGTCCAGGCGGATGTCTAGCATGAGGATGTGCTGAGAACGTCTTCAGCGAAACTCGTGTTTTCACGTGTCCAGGTCGCCCAGGCACAGCACAGCCCTCGGCACGGTACATCAATATCGATACCCTTAGCATTGCAGCCTGGCACGTTGCCTGGCACGTTCCGCGGAGCGTCCCGTGGCGAGTCCCCCTGGCACGTCGCGCGGTGCACGTCCATTGGCTCGTTCCGTAGCGCGTCCCCTTGGCACGTCCCGCGGTGCGTGCCCATGGCACGTCCCTTGGCACGTCGCCTGGCGCGTCCCTTGGGACGTTCCGCGGCGCGTCCTCCTGGCATGTCCCCCTGTCCATTAGCTCTGGGGCAGCTACTATGTGCTGAGGCCGCTCGAGCTTAAGATCTAGGTCGGTTCGGTCAGGACTCGTGTGCAAAGGAGGACTCGATCCACAACGCTATAGAGCACAATCGCGGCATGGCACGTCGCAGTTCAGCACAGCGCAGCACAGCACAGCCCACGGCACGGTACATCAAGATCGATACACTCAGCATTGCAACTTCGGCACGTTCCGTGGCGCGTCCCGTGGCGAGTCCCCCTGGCACGTCGCGCGGCGCGTCTCCTGGCACGTCCATTGGCACGTCCATTGGCACGTTCCGTAGCGCGTCCCCTCGGCACGTCCCGCGGTGCGTCTTCGTGGCACGTCCCTTGGCACGTCGCCTGGCGCGTCCCTTGGGACGTTCCGCGGCGCGTCCTCCTGGCATGTTCCCCTGTCAGTTAGCTCTGAGGCAGCTACTATGTGCTGAGGCAGCTCGAGCTTAAGATCCAGATCAGTTCGGTCAGGATTCGGATGCAAAGGAGGACTCGATCCACAACGCTATAGAGCACAATCGCGGCATGGCACATCGCAGTTCAGCACAGCGCAGCACAGCACAGCTCTCGGCACGGTACATCAAAATCGATACATTAAGCATTGCATTTGCCCGTCGCCCAATCAGGTGTCTTTCAAACGTTGCCATGCCTTACATTTCTATATTCCTTTCCGGGTTCGTGGGTCGATCATGTTTTTTTTGAGCTCCCGAATTTTGAATTCAGAAGGTGGACGACAACTCAAGAACAAACAACGAACATCCAAGACCGATCCTAGCTTCCGGATCGTAAAAGAGGGCCCATGTCGTCGTCCTCCTCTTCCTCCTTCTCCTCTTCCTCCTCCTCGTCGCCGCGGAGTATGCGCAACTTTCGCCTGGAGGGACGGGTGTCCTGCGGGAAAGGAACCCTCAGGATTTTGACGTCTCTGGCCTCCCGGAACCCCCCCGAAGGGTCAGAATCCGAACAACCTCGAACCTCGACGTTCGAACACCGTCCCTCCCCCCATCGAGGCGTGCAACAGCTGGTGATCGAGGGTGAGGGAGGAGGGGGGGGACGGGGGGGGAGGAGGAGGGACAGGAGCAGGCGCGGGACGGGCAACATGAGGAAAAGGAGGGGTAGGGAGAAAAAATGAGGCAGAGGGGGAGGGCAGAGGAGGAGACCGCCGCGGAGGAAGAGGAGAGGGGAGTAGGAGGAGGATGCGAGAGGGGGAGGAGCAGAGAGTAGGAGGGAGCAGAAGGGAGGAGGCTTCCACGCGGGCCCACACAGGCCCTCCTGGGCCCCAGAGAAGGCTCCCACGACGCCTCCAAGAGGCCGTCGAGAGATCCCCATGGGACATCCAACACGCCAGATCAGGGGCGCATGGGTGGCAGGGAGTGAGGAGGCGAGTGACGAGAAGGACAGGCGGGAGCAGGGGAGGAGGGGGACACATAGGGAGGAGGGGAGGAGGAGGAGGAGGAGGAGGAGGAGGAGGAGAAGGAGGAGGAGGAGGAGGAGGAGGAGGAGGAGGAGGAGCAGGAGGAGGACGAGGAGGAGGAGGAGGAGGACCACAGAGGAGCAAAGAGGGGGCAGGGAGCGAGGAAAGAGAGAACCATTGAGGCATAGGAATGGGACTATCTAAATGACGATGTCATGATCAAATCACGCTTTTTCCTTGAGCGCGACGTACGCCACGAAGTTGAGGCCGAGCGCCGCGACGAAGAACTCAGGAACACTTCAGTGCGAGACTCTGGCTGCTCCAAGGACTGTGGGATTTATCGCGCCTGTGAAACCCACAGCCACGCTCATGTTCCTCCAGCCGAGGAGGCCCGATAGCAAAGTGAGAGACAACATGCATACGTTCCAAGTCACCACCTGCACAACAAACTGGAGTTGTCCCGATGCTGTGATTCAGGCAATTCTTGACGCTTCGCGTATCCCTTCCAGTGCCCGTCTCATCATCGACGATGCGGGGCAGGCTCACGAGCTTATGGCAACGATGTCCCTGGATAGTGTGATTCGCTCCGGGGGGCACCTAGTGCTGGTTTGCGACCCCAAGCAGCTCCCTCCCACGGTCATCTCCAGGAAAGCCGCGGATCAGGGACTGTGCCTCTCCATCTTCGACCGACTCCACCACGCAATAAGGGACCACGAGTCGGCTGTTATACAGCTCAGCTTGTGCTACCGCATGCACCCTTTGATCCTGGCCTGGCCCAACTGGGTATTCTACAACAACACCATGCAGACAGGGCTAGTCGACCCACTGACCTAGAGGCCGCTGGTCAAGGGTCTACCATGGCAGCAGTTCAGACCCTGGGACGGCGACAGGCTTGAGAAATTAGCGGGGACCGCCCGCACCAGCAGCGACGACATGCGCAGGATGCTCGTAAACCTGGACCCAGGCAAGCACCCCCCTGGAGAGCTGCACCGTTTCCTACTGGTCGACAACCCTTCCCTGGAGATCACATCCAGATTGCATGCAGGGTACGCCAACCTCCGGGAAGCAGCGCAGACCGTGGACATCATCCGCGGCCTACTCCCCGCAATGAAGGGGTCACGGTAAGAGTCGTCATCGGCTACCAGCTGCAATGCGCCATCCTGGAGAACGGGTGGCCCCAGAGCTCCCGCAGCGTCAGCGGCGCCCTCAGGCAGTCCAAGGGCCAAGGCAAAGGGAAGGTGAAAGGCGAGGCAGGCAAACGCAAAGGCCCCGCAGCAGACTCTCCTCGAGGCCCGCCCGGCCCCGGCGACTTCGCCAGCGTCTTCGACCAAGCCGACTCATGGCACACCGGCATCTCCCTGGAGTTCCTTGGCGTTCGCCGAGTCGCGGGGGAATACCTAGCGAGCGGCAGGCTCATCCTCTCCACGGTCGACTCCAGTCAAGGCGGAGAAGCCGACCTCGTCATCTTCTTCACAACCAGGTCCAACAACAAGCACGACTGGGGATTCATGGACAATGCCAACAGGGTGAACGTCGCCACCGCCAGAGCGACGCGCAACGTCGTGATCATCGGCGACGGAAGGATGTTCACCACGGCCACAGGGTCCAGACTCCGGGAGCTCTCCGAGTACGGTCGCTTCGCCAAGCTGTGGGCACGTTTCCGAGAGCCCGAGCAGTGCGGCAAGCGCTGGTCCCTGGTCGTCGACGAAGACTTCGACCCCATCGAGGACCTCACCTCCTGGATCCCGGAATCCCCGTCACACGTAAGCGACGACGTCATCAAGGGACTTGACCACGCGATAGAGAGGGCCCGGGCCTCAATGGAAAAGAACTTCGCTGACAAGATCGCAACTCCCCTGGGCCCAACATTCTCCTGGAGCGGCCTCGTCGCAGCCATCCGCAACGGCCTCCAGAAGCTAGTCGAAGACCCCGCCCTGGGAGTGGTCCTTTACACAGTCTCCGGCCCACATCCCCACCAGTACTCGATTGCCGACACACCGAGACTCCCGTGGCTCTTCGACCGGAAGACCTGGAGTCACCTTGGTTTCAGCTACGACGTTGACCTGGGTATTGACGCCAGCAATCTCGTCTACAACATGACTTTGGCCGCCCTGGTGTGGTTCCTCGGACTTGGCACT